CAATACCTACTGCAAAACTGCTGTATTTCTTATTTTAGTTTTTTTTTTTACTTTAGTTCTACAATGAAATAGTAACTGCATAAAAAAGCAGCTTTTTACTGAATTAATCTCTTTCTACATAAACATTCTCTTACTTCAGGGGCTGGAATAAAGCAATGGAGCAAAGAAACTGGGGGAGGGTGTTGTGAAGTAAAACCACACTGGTTTACTTTTTTTTTGCACCAGAAATTGCCTTCTACTTTGATGGTATTTGTGTTTTGTTTTGGTTTGGTTTTTATTTACCAGTAAAATACTTAACTAAAACCCAGTTCTTGACTAGTTTCTGCTGCTGATTTGGGTAAAAGTGCAGAGTTATTTTCTCTTTATTCTATGTTTTGGGCTTTCATAGATCTGAGAATATTACTCATCTTTGCACAGGCAGGGCCAGAAATAAAGTACCTCTTCTTAATGATCCCTACTGTTTGAAGAATATTTTATTTAAATATCAGTTTTATTGTAGTTCAGGTATCTTGCCAGTAGATGTTTTTACACTTTCTGTAATCATTCTTTATTACACATAATGCAAAGTTTTCTGTGCTGCAGCTTCCTTATGAAAAGGGATTTGACATGTCTGGTTTACAGACTGTTTTTTTGTCTAAGAGTCACATTCATGATGATGAACAAATAAAAATCACTTTGTTTTCAGAGCAAGAAAACTCCTGCAATACACAAAGGATGGCATGTAATTAATAATTTTGAATAAAAATATTTTTCACCCATTTTATTATTTGATTCCCCCCCCCTTTTTTTTTCTTTTACTCAAAAAGAGAGCCACATTCATCCAACTTCTGACTTGTCCAGAAAGGCAAACTCTTTCAGAGCATCTAAGTTAGGTTTCCACTCTGAACTACAAAGAATAGCCACTGAACTGCATTCAGTTCATACATTGTAGTAAAACACCTTAAGACATAACGTTAAAACCATAGTTTTGGAGATACTTATGTAAACCACTTTCTGTTAGTGAAAGTCTGCACAGAAGATCTGTGTACTACAGTACAGGTACATGCATTTCATTTCAAGAAATTGATGGGCTTGTAGAAGTGCATGAACTGTGTCTGTGTATCTCTTGGAAACAGATGTCACGTGAACTTCTTGTAACATGACTTTACGGGCACTGCTCATTTTCAACTTTTGCAAGTTGCTGCAGCACAGTTTGATTTCCAGTCATTTCCAGCTGCACGATTAGACGTGGTATTACTTAGAAAGAGCCTTTTGAGTGTATAGTTGGGTTTAAAGACATAGAGGAGACACCTTGAAGCTTCCCATAGTTTTGTGCAAAGGAGGGGTAAGCCGAGACTTAAGGAATTCACGGCTTTAAAATGAACAGTTTGGCATGAGTGAAGGTTATCTGTCTGCTGTTTTAACCTCCAAACAGCTCACTGCAATAAGAGACTGGCGTACAGAGTGGTAGGGAAGACAAGGAAGATGGGCTTGAGTTTTGGTTTTCTTCCAGGATAAGTCCTCTTATCTTTTTTTCCTTCCTCTTCAAATAATTACTAGATTCCCAAGCCAGAGAAAATTTTCTCTTTAAAAAATAACCAGTCTGTAAGGAGTAGGGCTTTTGTAGTCAGTAGCTACACTTCCTTGAAAAGAGATTTTTTTCTTATCCTGAAGGTTTATACTGAAAATAACTGTATAATAGCTTGCTCTTGCCTTAGTGTGTGTGTTTAACCTGTCCTCTTTACAGGCCCAGTATCAATTCTCTTAGTAATTCCTAAGACTAAATCCTACCTTGTTTTTTTGATGCCATCCTGTAGTCTTTTTTCTATCAGCAGTAAAGATTACCTGTATTAATGATGCTTTCAGTATATGTACCTTTTTATTCCAGTCTTCAGAATGTGTTTAGCAGCACCTGAGCAGGCTCTATGGCTCTACTGAGCTGTAAAAGGAGTAGCGGGCTGGAGTTTACTAAGCTGAAGCTTAGTAAATGAAATAAAATATATTACAGTCAGACTTAGCTGTGTGTAAACAGATATGTTCCCTGGCCTTAAAGAGAATGCAGTTAAAATTATTTTTGCTACAATACTGCAGAAAAGACTGATTTTTTTGAGGGGTTAAAAATCTAAAGAACCACTTTTGAAATTAATCAAAGGAATATTTTCACTCCTGGAGGATTTAATTCTGTTTCTTGAGTGTACTTGTATGTCCTAAAGATGCTAACAGAAACTTATCAATTTGAAGACTAAAGAAATCCCTAGGTTATCCAGACTATTAGATCTCCATAAAACACAAGCACATAAAATTTTATCTAATGTCTTTTTTCTGAGCCAAGTAACTTGTGTGAGGCACCACTCAGGAGCCATTTATCTAAACCATCCAAACCTTGCTGGTAAGGAAGTGCTATGCAAGTATCACACACTTAGTATAAGTTATCAGAAAAGGGGAGTTCCCACATCTTTATCTCCGGCAACAGATTTTGTGTCAGCTTTGGATTAGTCAAGCAGGTCTTTCATGGGGGAAAAAAATCCATTTCTGTTGCAGATAATATAGGCAATGCAGAAATTACCACTTACTGAGTTAATTTGTTCCAGGAGTTAATCACCCTCAGTGTTAGGAAAACAAAATAAAACTAAAATCTTTATTTCTTATTTTATCTTTAGTTGTGAGTGACTTGCTCAGTTCTTTTGCTAGATGAAAAAACTGTTTCATACCTGGTAATTACACATCCAAATAAATTGTCCTTGATGAACTAAGCAGTTCCTAAATCTGCTATTTGAGAACATTTTTCCAGCTTAATGATACTGGTTGTCTAATACAAAAGATCAACATGAAAAACTATTTTGTCAACATCTCTTTTTTGTTATATAAATTTTCCATGACCAGACTAGAAACTTAACATATTCACTCTTCTTCATTCATAAGGTAACTTATGAGTGTCTTCCACAAATATTTGGTCTTGATATAGTACAGAAAACAGAAAGTGGCTAAGTGAAAAAAAAATTTTGTCTATAACTAATGCAAGCAATAATTGTAATTTTTTACCAAGGAAATTTATTTTTTAATATATTTTTAATATCATGCATAAGTTTATACATTGAGCCTACTTACCTTGGTTAACTCTTTTCAGAAAAATTTCAAATAAAAACTATCACTGTTCACAGACTTGAAAGGAAATACAAAACCAAACTGTAAGGTGTTTTCAGACTTTGTGAGCGTAGAACTGTGGAGAGAATATTCCAGCATGAACAGCAGGTAATTAATACAATGATGTCTTGTAAATGCCATATTTTCATTGTCAACACCATGTGATTTCCCCTTATATTTTGTTAGTATAATGGCAGATGTGGGCCTGAGATTTACCTTGACTAGCTGCATTAAAGTGAAATTTGTCTTTTCCTTGTTTTCACTAATTTATAAAAGTTTATATTGCTTGATGTAAAATACATAATTTCTGAACAGTGAAAGACATAGCCTGAATCTTCAGACAGTGTGAAACAATAGCTCTAAGGAAAATGTAAATTGCTTGCGTTCACTTCTGTGGTGTTATAATTCTGACACTGAATCCTAAAAGGTAACGTTTTAAATGTTTTAACAAAATTTGGTAGCAATGCATTTCTTCAGTCTTCACTAACTGATTTCCTGTTTACTTTTTTCACAGCACAGTTATCCCTGAGAACACTTACAGCCTGAGGAAAGTGAAATACACTTGTTGAAGGGCTTATTGTGCTGTCTGCACTATAGTATGTAATTCAGTAGAATTAATTGCCATCAGTGGAGAACTCCCAACTGACTATTAAAGATGTGGTTGTTAGACACAGAACAACCTCATTTCTCCTGCAAACTGAAGTCAAGGATGTGGTAGAATAGATATGGCCTTGAATCTCCAGATACTATCACAGAGTGAATTTTGAAACCTGTCTTGTAATATTACAAATTTGTAGTTTATTCCAGCATGGCTTATAGTTTTCCTAAATATGACAAAAGAAACTAAATCATATGATTTACAATGCAAAGCTAATACAGCAGGAATTATATCTGCATACACAATTAATAAACAATGTACACTGTTTTCATATGTCACAGAGCACAATATTTAATATAGACATAATTTTGGTTGCTTGTGAATATTTAAAAATTTTGACGTGCTGTTCTGTTTATTGTGGTGGATGGTCATGCTAATAAACTCACAGATTCAGACATTTCCATGAATCAGAATGGAAGGTTCACATACACACACAAAAGTTAAACTGATTTTTGTTTTCAGTGTGAATGAAATAAAATGTTTTGTTTATGCAATTAGACCTACCCGCATGTATATTGTCTGTCTTAATTTTTTTGTCTATACTTGTGCCATCCATGATAAGTTTGGTCACCTTGATAGTGCTTTTTGAGTTATGAGGCCACACTAGATATGGTATGTGCATTGTGATTAATGACTTGCTATTTTGAGATCACTGACTATTTGCATTTCAGTGAGTCATTATAGAACTGAGACCCAGGAGGCTGAAATTCCTAATTTTTTCCCCAACAAAGAAACAGATTTTCTAGTGAAATCTAAACAGAAACATTAGTATCAGAATTTAATATCAATATTGTGATATCTAGATTGAGATCATAGCTAGAAGGCAGAAAGAGAGAGACTGCTTTCCACACATATCCTTTCCTGCACAAGTCTATAGTATCTCACATTTTTTGAAGGCTTATTTAATTCATGTTGGCATTCACCAGCATTTGATAAACATGTCACTCCTCACCAGGTGTTCTAACTGAAAACAGAGATGGACGAAATATATTCTGCAGTCTGCTAGTAATAGTGGTCCATTATTCTAATGAAAATGTAAAAAAATTTGTTTGTAAAAATATTTGCAAAGTAATCTATGAAAATAAGGATAATGAAAGGGTGCCTACATAAATTTACATGATTTTGTGCAAAGTTCTTTTTCATAAAGAGATTAATTTTCATGTACTGGAAGCTGCATTTGCATGTTACTTAATTTTTTCTCTCTGTGTTTTTTCTTCAGGGCAGTTCGATGATCAGTACCCATCAAAAGGTAAGTATTGTGGCTGTGTTTGCCTAGCAGAAATCAACCAAGAATTCTAAGAATGTACTAAATTCCATTTTCAAAGCTCTAATCTGTAGAAAACATCTACTTCATCTGAAAAACATGATTTCAAATCAGGAAATAGCTCACAGTCATTCAATTGGATCTGACATCAGCGGTATCCACACAGCCATTCTGAGCAAACTCTCTGCTTTTAAAGGTCTTCCCATCACTGTTATTGGTCTCACAAATGATGAAGTATGACACTCCATAAACAATGAGCTGGGCCTTTTGTAGGCTGCTTTGCTTTTTTGGCTTCAAACTGCCACTGAATGTCAAATCAATTTGGCTTTCACTAGAACAGTTTTATATGTGCAAATGTATTTGTGTCTGGTTGCCATTTTTTTTCTATTTTTGCCTTCTTTTCTGTTTGCTTTTTCTTTTCATCCTTTCTCTTGGATGATGTAATTTTTCTCTAATCAAAGCCAACACCTGTTTCTCTAAAATAGGATTCTCTGTGTAAAGCTCTTTATCACAATCTGAGTACACTCTAGATGGACTCATTATGAATCAAGTTCCCTCAGAACAAAGAGGAAGTGCTCTGCTACATTGATATTGTACATCATGGAGCCTGGATAAAGTCAAGAGCTGATGTAACCTTGACTTTTGACATTCCAAGAGACTACTGTCTAGATAATGCAAGGTGTGTAAGCCACTGTCTTTGATAAGTAATAAAACAAATAATAAATCTGACCCTGTGTTTAAGAGCAGCTTAACTGTTACACAATGCTGTATTGACTTTGGTGGTTTTTTTTGGTGTTTGTTTTTTTCTTAACCAATTTAAAAGGAACACAGAATTGCGACTTTGAGGATTTCTGGTTTTGTAAACCACAAGCATGTTTAGCTAAATGAATAATACCATACAATGAAAGAAATAGAACAAAGTAGGGGTGATAGAACTCCCAGTTCCAAGTCACATGCTGTGTGCTCTTGCTAGGTTTGACCCTTTTGCAAAGAACCAGAAATATTTTTTACTTCTTTAAAAGGGAATATTTACATTTTAGAAGCTAGGGAACCTACAGATAGACAGTAAGAGTGAGACAGAAAAAAAAATCATGCCAACTATATCCCAACACCCTCTAAATATAAATGGAGAGTTGGTACTTATGAAGGAAAAAAGCTTTGTCTGGACATTGCAGAATAGAAAGAAGATTAAAGAACCAACCCATGGTTGGTTCTAAATGGGCTAAAACATCTTCAGAGGACCTCAGGCTGTCCAAGAAGGGTCTTTGCCCAGTTTGTGAGTGTATGAATTCACTCCTGTATGATGGAACTCTGTCAGACACTCTCAAGGAAACTGCCTATTTTCAGAGCTAAAAGGTCTGCTTGGGTCAAATACTCACTGATTTCAAATCCAGTGCTAACTCTAACTGAAATATATTGGTAATCTGCCATCTGTGGTTTTCTTGAGTGGAAATTTTGACTGAAGTCCAGGTTTTAGTAGATATGAGGCCACGTTACCAAATCCATCCTCCTACTCAACATCATCCTTCATAGTGTCTTACTATGTCACTGCCTTTGGATTAAGGACCATAGCAAAGTACAGAAAATGCAGATACTTCAGTTGCCAAGTCATTTCTTGGTCTCTCTTTTGAAGCTATCTGTAGTGAATGCTTCATTGCTGACATCTATTCTAGCCTCAGTATTGTCAAAGCATTTTTTCATGTGTAATAAATTTGCATAAACACTTCACCCCAAATATAATGAAACATAGAAAGGATAAGAAAGACCTAAATTATATTTTAAAAAAAATACTAAAAGACTTCTTGATTGATTTGTAGAGGCATAGCAAAATTCCTTCATATAGTGGCCTCATGAATGAGATGATAATATGCAAGTAAAGCATAATGATTGGCATATTAAATGCAAGATCTTTGTCACCATCTGTTTCCTGATTGTGTCAGCAAGTTGGGTTTTTTTTCATGGAAGTGTGAGAATACACCATGGCCTCGAAGTATCAAAATGTCAATTATACATCACATTTTAAGTTGGAAGCCCAAATCACAATTGCCCCTGAATTCTGCTTGAAACAGTGACAAATTATTACCTATCCTTCACATTTAGCCTTACTGTAAAATAGTGTAGTTATTGTGCTGAAAACTAAAGCAGAGCAGGAACACTATAGAGGCCAGGTTTACAATTTAGTGATGAATACTTTTTTAAAAAAATGAGACAGAAGGAGATAGGGAGAGAACTAAGAATTCAAAACAAAATAAATAGTTGCAGAACAACCCTATCAAATACTTGTTATTTCAAGCTCAAGTACTTTGAAAACAGTTTTGCATTTCTGGTATTTTCCATTGCAAACAGTGCTCACTTATAAGGAAGACAGTATTCCTTTTTCTATGTTTTCTCCTGTACTGACAGAAAAAAAAAAGTATCCTGATTAGTGCAATGAATCAGTAGAAACTGCAGAAGCAGAAAACCCATGTAAAAGCTAAGTAAATAAAGGAAACTTTCTACTAATAGAACAGACCCTGGTTTACACCCTCAGTGGTCTTATATAAGAGTTTGTGGGAGATAATATTTTACTGTCTCACAATAGGATGAGGTTTACTAGCACCATTAGCTACCAGTATCAGCAGCCCAGAGGAGAAGACACACAAGAAAGCCCCTGATTGTGGTTCAGAAATATGAATGCAAGACCCTCCTGGAACTGAAAAGCCCACTAGGGTCTCAAGGTATTAGTTCTGCTTGGGGGATAAAATAGAAGAAATAGGTATCATGTAAAGTGATTCTTCACTCACTAAGGACACAGTAAGATCACCAAATAAATGCAATGGCTTTTCGATTTGCTTCTAGACCAATTACTGTACCAGTGAAAATGAGATAGCTTTGTGTTTTTTAAATATGATAAAGAGCATAATTGTGTCCAACCAATATAACATGAACTAATCTGGAAGAAGGAACTACAGGGGGTTAAATGAAAAAGTGACCTTCCAAACTTGTCCCTTGTTGGACTTTTGATGAAGCGTAATTTCTTCTATCTAATAATTTCTGATTATAGTAGTATTTATACATGATAAAATATACAGTCCACTGCTTAAACACACTGCTTATATGAAGTTTTCAGATGAGTAATAAATTTTTGTTGTAATAAGACAGCAATTTATAAGATGCAAAATTTATTCCAAATGAGACTGGTTCCAAAATGAGGAAATTTTAAGTAGCATAACGTGTATTACAGGTTTGGGATCATTCTCTGTGCCTGTGAAATAGAGATGCTAATACTTAATAATTATAAAGTACTTTGACTCTAATTAATAATAATGCAATTTTTAATATTAAGCATGCATGTATGTATATGTTAAGTCAAAATATTTGATAAGATTCAATTTGGGGTTCTGATTTAAGCAGTTCTCTGTTTGCAAATGTGTATAGGCATCTCTTCACTAGCAATGTAAACCTTTTTCCTTCTTCAAAGTTTCATGTAAATGATCTCTAAAGTTTCAACAGAGGTTTGTATATTTCTAGTGGAGCATCATGCTCGGTCAGATAGTTACCAGTTTCTCCATTTATCAGCAAATCATAACCTGCTGGGAAGAAGAAAAGTCAGAGTTGAAACATTGCAGCAGTAGTTTGATTGAGAAAAGTTTGTAGCCTGAACCTATGTATACATAGGAACCAAGACTATAAGCAGAAAAAACAACTATGTGAGAAAAAATTATCTTCTGAGAACTTTCATTTGTGTTAGTTGCCGAGATAACCACTGTATGTCTGTCTTCTGAACAGGTGCCTTTTGGGGATCTGACTCCCAACTCGTGCATCTCCCATCAAGAGGTCAACTGAATACAGGTAGTGGAAACACACTGTGAAAAATATTTGAGTATTACTAACAGGTATGATTTTATATGTGTGCATAGTGGTGGTGTCACTATCTTCTCTGAAGGTGAGGTCTGGATAGATATGTGGTAATTAAATATTTTTGAACTTTGTCTGTGAACATCACTCTGTGTCTCAGGTTCTTAAAGCAGGGACTGAAGGAAATTGTCCTTAATCTATCCTGTCTCTTTAACATTTTTTTCCTTTCTGTAAGTCCATTCTACAATTTGTCCCTTCATCCTCTATAAGGCCCATTCTCAAATCACTCTGTTCTGTTCACTAACAGAGAAATAGCTTGATTTTTTTCTTCTTTTCTGGCTGCCTTTTGTTTTTTTTTGATTGCTCTGTTAGGCATCCCAAATGAAGCAAAAAACTCTCTCACACCTTTTAATTAAAATTTTGCTATTAAGAATGTGATCCTGAAACAAGTGAGCTTAAGAGAAGTTTTGTTACTGATATCCATGAGTTTTTCTTCTCCCTCACATCAGGAATATGTCATACAAAGTAATATGCTTTGTTTCATGTATTCACCTGGGCCTTTGAAAGAATGCTTTGAGAATTTCTGTCATTCTCAGCTCAGTAATCTTAGCAATTATAGAACTATTGTAGTCTGCATATCCTATATTTTTCTGTATTTCTGCTTGTATTCTACATAAAAATACATTGTAGAATAAATTATATCTGTATTATCCTAGAATCATAGAATGGCCTGTGTTGGAAGGGACCTTAAAGATCATCTACTTGCAAACCCCCTGCCATGGACCAGTATGATTGGTCATACTGGATGAGCAATCACTAGATCAGATTGCTCAGAGCTCCATCCAGCTGGGCTATGAACACTTCCAGGGATGGGGCATCCACAGCTTCTCTGGGCAACCTGTTCCAGTGCCTCACCACTCTCTCCGTAAAGAATTTCTTCCTAATATCTAATCCAAACCTACTTTTATGAAGTCTGAATCCATTCCCTCTCGTCCTGTCGCTACATGTTCCTGTAAATAGTCTCTCTCCTTTCTTGTAGGTTCCCTTCAGGTACTGGAAGGCTGCAATCAGGTCACCCTGAAGCCTCTTCTTTTCCAGAGTGAACAAAACCAATTCTCTCAGCCTTTTCTTGTAGGATAAATGCTCCATCCCTCTAATCATCTTCATGGCCCTCATCTGGACTCACTCCAACAGGTCAATGTCTTTCCTGTGCTGGGGCCCCAGACCTGGATGCAGTACTCCAGGTGCAGTCTCATCAGAGTAGAGGGGAAGAATCCCCTCCCTTCACCTGCTGGCCACACTGCTTCTGATGCAGCCTAGGATACAATAGGCTTTCTGGGCTGCAAGTATACACATTGCTGGATCATGTCCAGCCTCTCATCCACATGCATGTGCAAGCCCTTCTCAGCAGGGCTGCTCTCAATCTGTTCATCCCCCAACCTGTTGTCCTGATGCAGGTGCAGCACCTGTCACTTGGTCTTGCTGAACTTCATGAGGTTCCCATGGGCCCATTTCTCCAGCTTTTCGAGGTCCTTCTGGATGGCATCACATCCTTCAGGTGTGACAACTGTACCACTCACCTTGGTGTCATCTGCAAATTTGCTAAGGGTACCCTTGATCATTTCTTCCTTGAAGAAATTAAATAACACTGCTCCAAATTTAAACCCCTGAGGGACACCACTTGTCACTGATGTTCACTGGGATGCTGAGCCATTGACCACTACCTTCTGGATGTGACCATCCAACCAATTCCTTATCCATCTAACGGTCCACTTATCAAATCCATGCCTCTCCAGTCTAGAGAGAAGGATCTTGTTGAGGACTGTGTCAAAGGCTTTACAGAAGTCCAGAAAAAAACATATTATAAAATATATTTATTTGTTCAAA